AGAGAACGATGGTCAAGTTTAGCTAAAGGAGGGGCAGACAGAATCTCTTAGTCATCATAAAGTAAATGAGAAGCAATAAGCTCATGAGGGACAGGGCTCTTTACAAACTGCATTGTATCCCTGGATCACTGTAACTTGTTTTGTCTTAAATCTATGTTAACAAGGTAACTTTGACATTGGAAGAGGCAGCACAGTCCACTTCATTGTCTGTGGCTGATGTCACATGAAAGCTTCGTGCTGCCGTTCAGCCGGGCAGAAGGCACGGGGTCAAAGGTTACCATGATAGCCATCGGTCCTGACCACTCACAGCTGCTCTGACAGAGGTAAAACCTGTTAACATGGTAGTTTATGCGCAGCAGAGATGTTTTTAAAGGGCAGTTTACAAAAAACAGCCACTAAATGAGCACATATGTGACTTTTTTTCCACTGCATGGCAATGTGATCCAAGTCTTTTTTAGACTGCCTCACAGCCCTGCTTTTTATAACCCAAACAGCCGCTCACTGGGCTAATTGACTTTCCCAGTCCGCTCAGGACAATAGAGCTGGTCCTTGACTTCTTTATGACTTCCCCTTTATGAGTCCTGGGCTGATTATGCCTTTAAGGAGCCTTTAATAAAGACTCAGCAAACAGCCATTTCTGTGGAACATATGAAAAAGCACGGAGGTCGTCATGAGGGGCTCCTTATGGCAAAATGCCAGGTCATAGCGTGGGGTAAGAAGAGGACGTACACACAAGAGTCCTGATAAAAAGCTCTGTGAAAAAAATATTTTACAAACAACTGTTCTTGATAAAAGGCTTAAATGACAGTTTACACTAGATGCAAAACAATCACAACGTGCACATGCAGGGTCATCTGAAACCAAAACCTGATTTCCTGCACAAGGCCAAAGTGCTGAACTAATAATCAAGATCGGAAAAGGAAGTAAAAACAGTGTCTGCATGTAGGTACGGAGCCTTATCTCATTTAGAGGAAGGAAAGAAAACAGTCTTTTCACTCTCTGTGTTTCCCCAACAGGCATGACATGATGTCCACTGCATTGTTCACATTCTTAAGAGTAGTTAAGCAGAGGCACTTTTAATCAGCTGTGCTGTGAGGGTCAAAAAGAAACTACCGTTAACCATGACCTCATCATAGTGTTTCGACTAAACCATTCCATTTTTTACAAACTATTCACAGATACTGAGTACCAAGTACCTTCACCAATAAACATTTTTCCAGTGAACAAAGTGTCACTTCCACTGTGTAGCACCATTTACATGTTTCAATAAACAGGTTTTCACACACCATGAGGACTAAATAACTCAACAGGAATTGACCTGGGGAGGGGTAAACTCCCCATCTGTCCACTGTGCTGTTAAACTGAGAAGAGACATACGTGAGTTCAGCGCTTTTAAATTAGTATGGTAATAAAACAAATACTGATGAAAGTGTATCCTGGTTTCGTTTCAAGGTTAGTAAAAAAAAAAAAGATTAAAAAAAAAACAAAAACAAAAAAAAAACAATGCTCCCTTATATTTACAACCATATCTCTCTGCATGAAAACCTCTTTTTCTAATCCACCCATCAGCACAATGCTGGACACTTGCCTCCACAGCTTCTTTCAATGGACGGAAATTGGGAATGCAAAACAGAGCAATAGTGAAAGGACATGCGGTTTCATGGGCTTCCACTCAAACAATGGAGAATCTCCCACTGTTTAGCTCCTGCTTCCTCTCGGGCCCACAACACTAACAATGAGGCGCTATTATGACCGGCTCTGTGGACTGGTTTTTTTCAAATGTGGATGAGTATAGGATGAGAAGGTATCTTCACTTGAATTTGCTGTGAATGTGTGTAAAAAATGGAGGGATTCTTTTTAGTAGTGCTGATTGCTCTCATCTAATAAAACCTCCATAAAGATCAGTGAAGTGAAGAAAGTAATTTTGAGGTGAAATTGGACATAAAACCATCATGCATGACAACTGCACTCATTTTAACAACCAGGAAATGTTTCAGGAATAAATCCAACTTGTAAATATGATTCAGCAAGAAAACAAGACATAATGAACCAGATAACACTCCTCAAAAAACCAACCATTTGACCAACAAAAGCGAAGGATCATCAAAATATTCAATTTTCAAAATAATTAGGCTATGTGAAATTGGGAATGCCAATCTTTATCTTTTTTTCAGCTCTGATAACTGCATCTATTTTGTTCAGTGTATGTGTGTGTGTGGGGGGGGCAAGACTTTTTTTGTGGGGGGGGGGGGCTGTTTTGTTTTACAACACTTTTAACTTGAAAATGAAACAAACAAGACTTTTTTTGCATCGCCATAAAACCAAAAAGCAGGTTGACAAATTCTCCTGCCACATGTTCAGTAGCATGATGCGCAATCTAGTAGGAGCGTTCACCCTGAAGACAGACTACAACTGTAGTGCATCCAACAACAGCAAGACAAACCGTCGTGTCATCTTATATTGTTCCCTCATGAGTGATACAGAAATGTGCGTCCCGTAGCACGAGTGTTTGTTTACATCGTAAGAAATAATACTCTCGCTCTCAGACAAGAGGTCTCTACAGCTTTGATAAGGATCATGGGTATTTATTATACCCAGCACAGCCCTCCCAGTGAACTGTTGGCTAATGTGTTGCCTCATGAGACATACAGTGCTGATGTGATAGTGTTGAAGTTTGAATCTCTGTCCTCACGTTGCCTGTGTTTGTGACATAATGACAGAGACAAACACAGGCGTCCAACCATCCAAAACTCCACTGTGTTTTTGTACATAATAAATGTGGATGAGAATTTGGAATACAGTTAAGGTCCCACAAGATTGACACGCCGTGTCCTATAATTGCCCCGAGGACTCCACTTGGGGTTGACGGCTTATCTCAAGGTTGATGAGAGGAAGGCGTCTACGGACCAATCGCCAAGTTGGTCAAACCTCCATCAGCTTGTCGGAGCTATGTCACAGCTCCTCTCACTTCTCCTGGGGAAAGAAAACTCACTGGACTGGAGCCAATTCAGAACTACAGAGTAAACACACGCGCAAACACAGCGACAGGGAGAGAGCCACAGAGAGGAGCTGAGAGACCTTGACCTATTCATTCCACTTAAAGCCTCAGTGGCCAAGCTTTTGGCCCCTAATAAAACAAAGCCTTCAATGAGGGAAAAGAGTTTAACCCAGTGGAACCAATGCTTTGTTTCAGCCCTAGTTTGACAGATAATCCCTCACAAATCCTACATCTCTGTGGGATTCACTCTCGGGCAAAGTAGGGGAATGAAAACTTTCAAAAATATTCAAACAAAAGCCAAAAGAGTCTGTATGAAAAGTTAATATGCATACCAAAAAAAAAATCATCAAATATGTTAAGTGTAGGTTGGAACACAGTGCATTATTGTCCCTCTGGACTTTCTGTATCTGTGTCAGTTGGGCTATAAAGTAAAACTGAAAAGCCGTTTCAAAGACACCCACGCACAAATGTGCAAATACAAGCCTTCCAACAGACAGTCGGTGCTGTCCAGGCCTGACATTAACATCTGTCTGCAGTCATCTGATTACAAGACGATAACGCTGAATACAGGTGTGACTGCAACAGAGAGCGGCGTTCACTGACCTGCACCAGAATCACATCCACCGATAAATATGTCATTTTTTCAACTGTTTCCCTCCAGTTCATTATCAGACTTGTGGTCAGTTAATAAATGTCTCCTACAAACTGCAACAATCTACTGAATAATCAGTCTTGGATTATTTGTTAGTTATTATGTTAGTTGAAGTAATTACGCAACAAAAGTACAACAGAAAAATAAAGAAAATTATGAATTACAATAACACAGGAAAAACTGTGAGTTGTTGTAGGTCTGCTGCCCACACTAACATATCCAACATGACCTCTGACCTTTTAAATTGCCTGCAGCACCACAGCCTTCTCACCTGCAAATAACATTCACTCAGCGCAGCTCCCTCAGCTGGTGAAACATATGATTCTGACACTTCAGACCAATAAAGGGAACAGTCCTTTGAGGCCGGCTGTTCACAGGACTTCAACATCCGCCCCGGTCCAGACACTCTTCATTTGCCGTCCCTGGGATCAATAACCCATTGCCCATTCATTACAGCAGAGAGCCGGGGCTTATATGCTTATGCGGCTAGTTGGATCCACTCACACTAAACACTGAGGCAAGTCAGTAGACAGGTGAGGTCAGAGTAGATTTACAATCAACACTGTAAATCTCTTTACCCCTACAGGAAATTATAGACAGGGCAAAAGCTGTTCGGAAGCTCCTCTCCACTCTCTGCCTATTGATCTGCAGCAACTTCATTCCCATCATTCACTCTGACAGCAACTACCAACACCTCCGTAACATGCAGTGAGAGGTTCGGAGACATTTGGCTTCCTAGTCAGGTTTATGACTAAGTTCACAAAATCCAGACTTTACCATCAGCAGACAGATGGTCTGCTTTTAGAACTGCTCAAAGCCACCGTGGTGCCCTGAGGAACTATGGGCACAATGAATGAATCACTGGGCTTGTCCCTTCATCAGAGCCACCACAGCACAGTGATGTGGCATTGTTTTTACTGGGACTGGTGAGAAGGTGCTATTTAACCCTTAGCCTTGCACGTGTCAGGTTCATGAGAATTCTGTGATAAGTTCTGACTTATAACACATATAACACACATATTTTGTGTTAAAATGTACAGTTCCATCCTATCTGTTATCTATTTATAATAGTGATTTGGTGTATTAGTCATGAAGAGTCAGTCAGTTCAAACATGATCTGTCAGAGAGCCAATGCAAAGTGACTGGGGAGGCGCATGTGGAGCAGGATTTACAGGCTGCAGAACCTGTACTAGACCAGTATAAACAACAGGCACAGAAAGGTGTTTGTATTGTGTAGTTTATACAGCATGACATTAAAATGTATACGGGTGTAAGTTAACAGTTAACAATCCTGTGGCAGGAGGAAATTCTGATGAAGTACAGTGTGTCAGTGTGTCAGTGTACACTCACCTTGTTAGAGTAGGGCGGCTTGGAGAGGTTGATTCCATCTCTGATGAGTTTATCCCTGATCATGATCTTCAGCTTCAACTTGGGGTATATCACCAGGTCCCTCCTGTTACCCAGCGTAAGGTTCCTCTGTGCGCCCATGTGCCCAGCGGTGCGCCCAACACGCTCGCTGTTGGGTTCGGTCCAGGACTTGGATCCGCGCAATTTAGACTCGTACTGGTTGACCATGTGACTGGTATAAATCTCTGCCGGGGGTGGCATGGGCTCCAGGGTGAAGTAGAGCGCACTGGCCGTTTCTTTGGCTTCCTCCTTCAGCCGCCTCACCGCGTCGTGGATCCTCTGCCTGTGGTGAGGGATGTAGACGCCGATGGCATCCAGGTCGGGGTCTCCGATTTGTTTGCAAACCTCCAGATCGTCGTATCCATTATCCACAAAAGACTCGACATACTGGCCGAGCTGGAGGGTTTTCAGCCACTCGTAGACGATGACAGGTCCGTTGCTGGTCATTTTGGCTGTTGCCAAATCGGCTACAACTCAGTGAGCGAGAAGAAAAGTGAGGGTTAATTTCCCTGTTGGCGTTTGGAGCGCATCATCAGCTCGTCTCCAACAATGTGCGTGTCCTGCAAAGAGTAAAACAGCGAGGTTAGGAGATATTTGGCCTGACAAGACGTGGATTGCGCGCAGACACTGGAAGAAGATGTGAAAAAATGTTTGACTGCAACACCTGTCAGTATTTACGGATACAGACCACTCCAGTTCCACGAACACCTCTCAGATCCGAAGTACCATTTCAAAGCATCGACTTTAAGCACAGTGTGCCATTCAAAACGCGTGTTCAGTCCATAATTGGCTTCCATAAACAAACATGGGAACCAAAAGCCTCCAACTATTGTCATTCAAATAGCTGCTTGGCCAGATCTCGTCTGTTACGCGCGGCAGCTGCTGCGTCTTACAGCCTCCTCCAACATTTCCCTGCTCCTTCCCAGTCTCGTGCGTCGCAGGAATAAAGTGAAAAACACAACCAGGCAGGCTTTAGGTTCACAGCACACCCCGTGTCCAGACGCTGGGGTCTACGCGCTCTTCATGTTTCCCAGCCGGCGCATCTCTCACACTGGAACTGCAGCCAAAACCATGTTCACTGCTGCTGCCGCTGCGCCGTCCACGCCCCCCAAAATCTCACTGTACAGAATTTAAAAATAGTGATGGCGAGTTTCTCCTTTTTCCCCTCCCCTTTCCAAACTTGACACACGCACAGCTTTGGGACAAACAGTAGCTCAAAGATCCTCTCCTCCGATTTGGCCAACCCTTGACTGAAACAAAAGCGCACGTGGAACCGGAGGCTCAGTTCAAGTGAACATTCCTGTTGCTGATTTATATCACTCCATCTCTCTCCTCTCTCTCTCTCTCTCTTCCTCCCTCTCCCCTACACCACGCACTCTCACTCATTCAGCATTTCCATGGATTGGCTTCTCAGCGCGCATGAGCTCCCTCTACTTGCTAACAGTGGAAGTGGTGCAGCACTGGCCTCCACTGATGTCATCTTTCCAACCTATTCATCATATCCTTTAAATGAATGGACACTTCAAGCTTCTTCTTTTTCGTTGTTTCTTTTTACAACACTGCAAATAAGTGGGAAGCAGCCGACTGTGTCAAACCTCTGCACCACAGGAAGCCATCATCATTAGTATTATGTAATGAGTCAAGCAGACTAGGAGGAGCAGCGACTGGAGAGCTGCAGCTCTGGGGAACAACACGGTTTGAGGAGGATCTGTCCACTTGGTCCTCATGATGCCAAGCTGCCTGGTGCTGATGCATGCTTCACTAAATATGAGCTGACAGCTTGTTAGGGGTCAGTTTGATACAATCACTGTCTCAGCGCTAAGCTGGAAGTAATTTGCCTCTGCCCATTATGACAAGAGATGGAGAACAAACGTGGCAGACAGACGGGGGAGTAGAGGAATAGCAAACAGAATAGTGTTTAATTTTTTTAGTGATGCCAAAACTGCAGTCTGAACGCTGGGTTCTTCTTCATGACCTCAGTCTCAGCTTGACATGTACAACTGGCTTTAACTTGATTATGTAAAATCTCTATCTGACTAATGATGTTATGTCAGAGTCTGCAGGGTGTAGTGCTGTGTACTGACTACACTGGGTGATTGAATGGATAATTCACTGATGTTTATTGTTTAAAAGCTGAAGTAAATGTGGTGCATTCACCGACGTTAATAATCCTCCTACATGGAGCCAAGGAAAAGAGGCAGATGAGCCACTTGTGGCTCAGGAGCCATGGGTTGCAAACCCCTGTTCTAAGCCTTTAATTATATTATCTATTACCTATTTCTATGTTTACATCTGCAACCAAATAAGAATGAAGAAAAATCATCTTTGACAAACAAAACATATAGGTGTTGTATTGATGCATGACATACTCAAATGTTCCAGAAAAATATTGTTATATATTAACATATAAAACAACAATAAAATAAAAAGAATCCTGAAGTAGAGTTGTTCTAAACCTCGTTAATAAAAGTTGAATTAATACATTTTCTCTTTTCCTTTTGCTGAAAACAACAATAAAATAAAAAGAATCCTAAGGTAGAGTTGTTCTAAACCTCGTTACTAAAAGCTGAATTAATACATTTTCCCTTTTCCTTTTTCTTTTAGGACTTACTATAACCAGAAAGACTAAAAGGTTTTCTTTTTTGAAACTGTTTATCACACCTCAACAAATCTGAGCTTCACCTATTGTTCAAAGACAAATCAGATCATTAGTTCAGGGAATATGGGATGGCACTGACAGATGGAACCAGGAGACTGGTGAGCTCCACATGGCAGGACTCCGATCGGTGCCAGGATTGATATGTTTCCACTTTGCTTCCTTGGAACAAAATCAGTCATGCAATTGTCACAGGCTAAAAAAAAAGGCCAAACTGCTGGTTTTTATAGGGGTTCTACACATTTGGTAAAAATGTTTAAAAATTATACATTTAAAACCCATTGTACTAAAAAAAAAGTCAGCCATAGAAACAGGATTTTTTGATCCATGAAAAAAAACAAACATCAGTGTTTTTATTTATTAGGGTTTTACTAATTTTTTTATACTTATTCTAATAAAACTAAACCTGATAAATTATTAATGGTTGTCAAAATAGTTAAAAGTTACATCATCACGATGTATAAAAGGAGACATACAGGACAAAAAACTGTCCAAAACATCCTGCTTTGTATTACTCAGCATGGTTAAAACAGGTGGGTAGTTCTGGTTAGTTATGAAAATAACAACAAACAAAGTGATGCTTATTTAATACTGCTTAGTATTACCTAGGCCTTATCCCTGTGTCATTGCTTTTGTAGCGACATAAAAAGAAAGTCTAAGTCCATTTCCGGCAATATACCCCACTGCTCGTTCCACTGAGTGCAGCCCTGCTGCCCTGCAGCCCCAGAACTGCTGCCACATCAATAACACCTCAATAACCTTGGCTTAATAAATTCTGAAATGGAAGTCCAGAGCATTAGAGCTGGTAAATATGAGGACACGGCAGTGGCAGCAGAGCAGATTAGCATTATTGCTAATGCATATACGTATGTAGGTAGTGGGGACTGTAGGGTGAGTGAACAAATGTGACTGTGACATATGGAGGTAAAGAAAGCTGTAAAGTGAGGACACAGACAGGAAGCTGAGCAGACAACAGCAGATCGTAAAAAAAAACAAGGATATATGTGACGTCCTTTTGGTTTCAACGTGTCTGCTGTGGGTTTAGACAACACGATGTATATTTAAAGTCATGCACCTAATTGAAAACAGTCTTATTTATAAAAAAAATTATCTCAACATTTTTTACTAAATGTAAAACTCCTGAAAACAGATGGTGAGAATGGTGATGCTCCAACACAGAGAACCCTGGGAATCAGAGGAACACAATATTAAAGCCACAGAATTCACTGACTGATGATGGTGGTCAAGTCTTGTCCAAAATCTTATTTTCCCGCCGCTCTCCTGTGTCTAATTCAGAGGTTGGCTGGAGACAGTTACTCAGGAACAGCCGAGTCCAGAGGAAACAATCCTGGGGTTTACTGATGATTGCATGTAATTACTGCATATCACATGTGGCTTCATCGGGATTAGTCGTTTTTCTGTGATACTGGATCATACATGTTTCTCATGTAAGGTTCACACTCAAATGGATTCCCAGAATGAGTAATGATGGTGTGGAGGAAACAGTGAAACTTTGGGACCACTTTTAATGAAGAGCAGTTTCATAGGAGGACCTAAAAGAAACCAGTACTAAATCCACATTTTTATTGTCCTGGGAAGCAATTAAGTAAGAAAAGAAAAATTACCTTTCTACTGCAGGCTTAAAGATGGAGGTGCGCTCCCTGGAGGTCAATGGTTGGGGCACAGAGCAGATTCTTTTTCCGCCTTCTGGCATCTTCAAAAATAAGAAGGAGAGAGAGAGAGAGAGAGAGGGAGCGTAAAAGAGGGAGAAATGGAAAGGTCTTGATCTATCTTTATGCACTTTTAATTACAAACGGCTGCCTGGGCTGCAGGCTGCAGAGAGCAGAGGTGAAGTGAGCATGTCAGGACCAGCTGCCATTCCACCAGCAGCTCAATATCAACCTAAACATCCCCCAAAACCCAGAGGGAGGGGGAGGGCAGCACTCGGAGGTTAATGCATGTCTAAGCATATCAGCCACAGTGAGCTGCCAATCACAGGACATGATGCACAGGCAAATGGTCGGTTGTCTATGTTAGCAATCCCACCGAGGCAATAACAGTGATGCCATCAATCCAGCCATGCACTCTGAGACACAGTTGTGGCCAAACTTCTCAACTTCTCCAGGGACTGGTTCAATAAGAGCTTCAGTCGGTGATGGACGGATCTCTGATCAGACCGTTAAGGTGATTATTTCCAGAGGAACACAGGCTGATAGATTCAACTTTTATTTTCAATTAAAACGTGACTCCCGTGTGAACCAGCAGGGAGCTTGGTAGTGATGAATAAAAACTGCAAGAAAACGTCTCTACGAAGATATTGGTCTTTGCTCATCAGCAAACAGCTCGAAAAGACAGCAAACAGCAGAAAGCTTTAGGAATTTAGTTTCATCCAATCACAACCTTATTAACTTAGTAACCGGGGGACCACACAAACAGCGAAAAGGCTTCCTAAAGAAATAAAACAACAGGCACATAAAACAGACAAAGTTTTTGCAGTACAAACCCTGTAACAATAAAGATCTCTCTAATTAAAATTACCTACACTCAAACCGACAGTAAAAAATTAATTGTATTTCACTGAAGAATTTAATTCTCATAGCAGCGTAACGAGCTGAAAACGTTTAGACAAATCCACAGAGAAACTGCTCACATTAAAGGCAATAAATTAATTTTCTCTAAACTCTTTATAATTTATACACTTGCTCTGAATGCTGTTTTAAAGGTAAGGTGTGCAGAGAATACCTAGAGGGGAAGTCATACAACACCTGTGATGTAAATAAATTAATCTACAGTCAACCTCTTATTTGATTTATTTTTTCCTTTTCTTTTCCAAGAGGTGGGATTGTGACTGTGTATAAATATGTGCCTAGCAGGATTAGCTTAGCCTAGCTGACTAAGCTAGCTGGAGCTGAAGGGGGGAGGATCTATGCTCTGTCTTTGGGCTGTCAAGCCACACAGTGTGCAAATGACTGTATTGACTGACCACAGAATCAAAATGTGAAGGTGTGCAGCTCCACTGATTAGTTGGCCCTCACAGCTCAACATAACCAGCATTCTGTAGTATCACAGTCTGCCTAGTTGTGTGTTTTATATGAAACAATTATGGGTTGTTTTTTTTTTGTTTGTTTGTTTTTTTTCAGTACGACCATCACTTATGGAATTGGTCTTTAAAATGTGTTTATAGCACACCCTGCAGGGAAGTACAGCAAGCAGCATAGTTTCTGTTTCTAAAGACAGAATATAGCATTTATTATCCTGAGATAAAACCAAGAATTAGTACCAAAGTACAACAATTCCCTTTAAACAAGTAAAAAAGAAGCAAAGCCTTTACTGCAGTCTTAAACCGTTGTCACTGCAGCAGAGAGAGGATTACCATTAGCAGCATAATGGCTGCCGTTATGGCTTTTTCTTGTACTTTGGTGGGACCTGACTAACCTGTACCTTGTGACCTGTGTTTGCAGCAACAGACGTAGTAGAGTGGGAGAGATTTTGTGGCACCATTTGTTTTACTGTGCCCATAGATGTGCCCAGTGCCAAGCCAACACAGAGAAGAAATCAAGCAATTACTATGGCTAGCCATGAACCTCAGCAGCAGCCGCAGCAGCAGCAGCATACTCTAAGTGGATTATTTATATATGCAAATACTTGACACACAGCCACTAGCATTTCCAGACATGTAATATTGAGGTGATTTACTGTATGGTAATGCACAAACATGGGCCTCAGGGGAACTTGGTCCTTATGATTAAAACTCCAGGAGAATCCCAACCTGTGGTCTCAAAGTTAACTTTTGCTCAACCTTGACATGAACTTGAAATAGATACACACAGTAAACATCTCATGCACCTGTGCAACTAAAACTCAGATAAAAATGAGCAATAAACAAGTCAGAGAAGTATTTGACTCATCTCCTTCTGGCTGCGTTTGATTACAGACACAGTATAATCCAGAGGAGTCAGAATGCACTATGGACTGCCTTAGGACGTCTGACAAGAGCTATTGACTGAAGGCGATGGAAGCTACGACATTAGGTTGTGATATATGACCAACCTCGGCGCAGGGTGACACCTGGAGGAATGAGCTTTAACTGCCAAACTACGCAGGAGCCTGGGAGACAGCTGCACATTTAAGAAATCTCTAATAGATTGTTTCATTACAGAGGACAAGTGAACTGCAACAGACATGCAATAAAATCCTGAGGGAGCATAAAAGACAAGGTGACGGAGGAAAAGAAGCCACCAGAAATCTCTCCTCGACCACAGAAAGATTTGCAAATTGATTTCAGCCCCACACTCTCTGCTGTGCCTTGGCGTGTGCCTGTGTGAGTGCGCGTCTCTAAACGCTAAAGGGAAGGTTTTCAGCTGATGATAAATGAAACATCATGCCACTTCAGAGGGTTTTATAACAATCCCCAAAGCAAAGCAGCGAGGCAGGAAGTCCAATTAATAAAGATTAGCTTCTTTTTTTTCCCAACCACAGACCTAATTTTCCTTTTTAATTAAATCAAGGTGAATGAAAATGAATTAATGATTATGCATTTTATGTGAAACCACTGCTGTATGCATTAACTTTATATGAAATCGTGGGCACAAAGGAAACTTTCCTATAAATTATTCATATTCACTATGTTTGCAGAGCAGATTTTAAATTGATGCTGGAGATAAACAAGACCATATCACTTAAATAAATAAATATTACTTAAAACTATACTATAAATAAAATATTTGTTTCCAGAAAAA